GAATGGGGTCGGGGGCTCGCAGGTCACTCAAACTGCACCAAATGAATATCAAAAACTGAATCCACATCCAATGCACTGTCCACACGCAGACCCACAGACATCTCAACCTCACAGCAGCACCACCCGTCCCCTGCAGAGCCGGCCCTTTGACATAGCACTCGGGGGTGGACCTGCAGGGTGCCTGCTCCGCTGTGATGGTGCATCCCACACAAGCATGGAGATCCACAGTGTCCCCCTGAGGGCCCTGCTCCTCAACTGGCGGGTGGACCCATAGGGTCCTGCCTGTATTTCTCCCAAGGGCACTGTGCCCTCTTCACCTCTGGGAAGAGAAGGTTAAAAATCAAATGTACCGCAAGCATCTGGGGACTCTCCATACCTTCTGCTCAGTTTTACTGTAAACCAAACTACTCAAAAAAATAAAGTCCAAATACATCTGGGTTGTCGTCAGCCTGTCTCAAGCAGTGGGGCAGAGCCCAGGCTCTGCCAAAGAATAGGTGTTGTGCCCAGGTGGCCCCTGCAGCAGGACAAGGACCATGCCTGCTGCTTCCCTGCATGGGCAAGAAGCCCCTCAGTGGCCGTGATGGCCAGGGCCCCTGAGCTGAGGCTCAGTTTCCCACCAGGAAGCGGTCACTAGTTCAGCAACGCCCGTGAGAGCTTACAAGCTCTGCCGCGGCTGGGTACCAAGCGCACAGCTCCACAGCTGCGCGTCTGGGATCCTTCAACCCGGTCTTCGCCTCTTTATCTCTTCGCTGCCCATTTTTGCCCAAACTCTCTCAAACTAATAACAATCGGGGAAGGATTTTCCAAAGAAAAATGACACGTATCTGGGATCAGTGGAGCGTTGCAAGGGGAACTCGCATGTCACAACGAGCTCCAGCCTGTTCAGAAGGCTGAGGCCAGCGGACACTTTTGAAGGCAAAACGTGGAGGGTGATGTAAGATACGCTGACACAGTAATCCTCAGCCACCAGCATGAGTAACAAGGGTGATGCTGACCAGGGACTGGATGGGCAGTTGCCAGGGAAAACTGCCCCACAGAAGGCGGGGGCGGGGGGCTCTGAGCCACGGGCCCTCTCTGTGGGCCCCTCAGGCAGAGCCTAGGGGAGGGGAGGGCTTCTGTGTGAGGGACACACCAGGGGCCTGCCCGGCAAGGCTGTATGGCAGTCTGGTAATCCTCTGCTCCTGACAGTCCCCAGCTTTACTTACTTCTGGCTCAAGTTCACCCTGAGAACCCTCCAGGAAGGGGAGCAGAGAGCTAGGAACAGAGGACTCCCCCAGCTCAGGGTCTCAGCGGCAAAGACACCCGCCGTGTGCAGTCCGCATGGTGCCAGCATGGCCCAGGAACCCCGAGAGGGCACGGGGCTCCTTGGTCTGTATGTACGTTGGCAGGTGAGATGAGACCTCTTGACCCACAGCTGCGGAGGAGACTGGTCAGGGCCATGCTTCAGGGAAACAGCGGGATGGAGGCAATGAGGGGAGGGGCCCTAACCCACAGCCCCACCCTGGAGGTCCCACCTCCCAGCCATGCCCCCAGCCATCTTTCCCTGGTGGACTCCTGGCCCTACGAGCCCACCCTGAGCCCCCAGGGCTGCCCCCAGCAGGGCAGAGCTAGGGCCACCCGCTTCTTCCTCTGACTCCACACTGGGCTCTCAGCATTTTTCCTGGCTGGCCAGTTCCTGTTGGCGCCTGTGTCCTCTCCGCGTGCTTCCCTAGCCCCACGTCCTGTGGGCACGGCCCTGGTGGATGGAGGGTAAAGTGACTGGCATGGTGCTCGGGGGGCACAGGTGGAAGGGTCTGCTGCAGAGGGGTCCAGGTGGACAGGCGCCTCTGACCTGAAAGAGTGGATTCCTGGTCACTCCATGTTCAGCCAGGTTCCCTCCCAGGGCTGACCCTTAGCTACCTGGAGCAGCTGCTGTCCAGTGACTGGCGGAGGAGGGTCAAGGTGACTCAGCTGAGGCTTTCGGGAGGCCACGTGGCAGGATGGCACTTCCTCTTCCCCATCCAGCACCCCACCCCCGTCTCCATCTCAGTGTCTCCTCTTCAGGACACCAGAACCTGGCACTGAGGTCCCACCAGGCCCTGTCCCTCCAAGGGCCCTCCCTGATTAGACACCCCACTTCTGTCTAGTGGCCTCTTTTCCACGGCACGGTTTACCAGCAGACTGTAGCAAGGCTGGAGGACTGAAAACCCCCCTCCCTCCACCACCGAGAAGCTGGCTGGTTTCAGGTCCCTGGAGGAGGGAGTGCCCCGTGCCACCAAGGGCCATGTGGGGAAGCACCGGGGGTCTGTCGGAGGCAGAGGATACGTGGGGCCACTGGGGCAAGAGCCTCCATTGTGGTTTCTGTGGTAAAGGCCAGGCGAGGCAGGGTGAGTGGGCTGAGGACCCACAGTGTGAGACATTTCAGTGGACTCTGGGAGGCAGGGACTGTCCCTTGTTGCCCAATGCAGGACCTGGCTCTCCTGGGGAGGGCAGTCTGCCCAGGGTGAAGAAGCTGTCTGAAATCCAAATACAGAATAAAACCACCTTCTTTGGACAGGTGTCCTGCACCGTGGTGTTCCCACAGACCTCACACAGCAGGTGGGTGTGGCCCTTGACGAGACATCTCTGGGCACCCCTGGGAAAGGCCGGGGGCTCCAGGATGAACCTCCACGGAGCCCTCCAGCAGCCTCAGGTGCTGTGGCCAGCTGCTGGGGAGCATCGTCCCCCTCGGCTCGCCACATCTCAGCTCACAGCGATGCTCTTAGACCCAGCTCCCGCTCCTGGATCAAGCTCCGTGGGCCCTGGAAAGAGCACGTTCTGCTTCTGTGTCAGGGCTAAGTCCACCTCTATGCTTGAGGTCTTTGGCCTGCTCCTTCTGCCAGCCTGAGAGCCGTGGGTGGGGTGCCCTTCTGTTCCATCATGTGGTGCTGCTCAGTTAATCTGGAGCTTTGCCGTTGGGTGATAATCCAGAACGGCCAGTCCAGAAGGGCCCTCCCGTGCCCCAGGGCTGGGGGACCCAACAGAGGCAGACAGTCTGCTCTGTGCCCAATGAGATTTACTAGGGACTTAGGGACAAAGTCGCCTGGCAGCAGAAGAAGGTTCTGTCCCATGATTGGGTCAGCCAAAGGTCCATGGCTCATCTCAAGCCCACGTGCAGGTCGGCAGGCCCCTCTCTGGACCACAGCTGCAGGACAGCCCACGTCCCACTCCCATGGCCTGCCCTTTAGAGCTTGCTGGGAAATCATCCGGGGAACGCAGGCCAGGTGCTCAGAGGCCACAGTGGCCAAGACACTTAGGGCGGCACCCGCGGTCAGGCGGGGTCCCCACAGTGGATGTGGCTTTCTGGTGGACTGAGCCCCCCAGGGTAGTGAAGTCCCTCCTTGTGCCTGTGGACTCCTGGGGGTGGCGTCTCTGGGGTAATGCGGTCTCCCTCATGCCTGCCCAGTCTACCCACAGCAGATATTTAGAATGGGATTCTCGCCGATGGCATACTCTTCCACAATCTGCCACTCTCTGCCTCTCTGTCACTGACAGAGCCACTGTCACTGCCTGGGCCACTGACATTAACATTTAACTCTTTATTAATGTCCCACAGATTTAAAAAATGGGTAGACAGATACAGGGAGAATCAACAAGAATAGGGTATAAATTCTGCAAAACAGAATTGAAACTCAAATAACGAAGGAAATTATATTTCACATGAAAAAAATGACCACCACACCAAAAATAAATAAATAAAAGGGAGAGGAAATAAAAAGCAGCCCACATCCCTGTCTGCACACCTGGGCTGAACACGGAGCTACAGAAAGGAGGCCACGGAGCTCCCTGAGCCTGCGGGCAGGCCTTGAGCCTGGGTCGCCCTGCAAGGGGCTGGGGATGGAGGAGCCAGCTGTCCATCAGCAGGTGCTGCACAGGCAGAGGGGCCGGCCAAGTCGCAAGCTGCCGCAGTCTGGCTGCAGCAAAATAACCGAGGGGATGACGAGCAACTTGCGTACATTGATGCAGCAGGAGTGGGAGCCGTTTATTGTAGGACAGGAGGGGTCTCTATACATAACTAATTACACACAGCTTATCTTAATTAACATAAACTAGATACAGCAGTCAGCCAATCAGGAATCTCCACACTTAATGGTTCGCTGGCGTGACTTCACAAACCACTCCCTCTGCAAAATGCCAGGTGCCATCCCCGACTTGTTTACAGACCCTAACAGCAAGCAGAGCCAGAGACCTGCGTGGACCTCGGCTTACACCTCTCAGTGCACCCGCACACACACACCAGCACACCTGGCTCCTGGTCTGCACGCACACATCAGTATCTGCCGCACACGTGCAGGGGAGTGATCCTAGGTCTGTCCTCCTGACACCTGGAAGCTGGCTGGCCCGTCACTGTGGCTCCTGGGGTGGGTCTGACACTCCGTTCTTCAGGAAGCAACCAGGGCTCTTTGGAGGCGTGACCGATCCAGGACTGAGGCAGGGAAAGAGCAAGAAAAGCCGGAGCACCCTGCTGGGCCGGAACTTAGGGACCTTCTCACTGAGGGGTGGGGACGCAGCAAAGGAGTGCTTCAGATGGAGCCAGGGACTTGAACCCTGGGGGCAGAACTAGAGACTGTAGGCAAGGGGCAGGTGAGCAGTGTCAGTGCAGAGGGGAAGACACACCCTGCCATCCCTCCTGCTGAAGCCAGATTTAAAGTTAGGTAGTCCGTGTAGTTAGGTAAATCAAGTGAAATCTAAAATGGAGGCCATGCTGGGAATGACTCAGGGAAAACACACAATTCATGGAATGTTAATGAAGTCCTGGAAAGGCCCTAGGCCAAAGTCCACCTGGAAGAAGTATTAATGAATAGCCCCCAACAGATTTGGAGATAGCCCGTCCCAGAGAAGTGATAATCCCATCCCAAAAGGTGATAATTAGGTCCACCTGTGTCCCACCCCTCGGGCCCTCCAACCTACATTCCATCACCAAACCTATAAAAAGGGAAATACATTTGCCCCCCAACTGGATTCCACCTCTTGGGTCCCCTTCTTCCTCCGGGAGAAGTCTTTTCTGCTGTCCTTTAATAAACTTCTAATTTCTACTCTGGCCTGGCCTCGGCGTGCTTTTTTGGTGTGATTCTTCAACATCAGGGAAGCAAGGACTCGTCACCGGTCAACAGCGGTAACACTGCCACTCTCTGAGGGAAGAGCAGGAGGCTGGGACAGTGGCACTGTGCTGCCATGACGAGGTGCTGCTGCCACCACGTGCGGCAGGGGAGTCCGGTGGTCAGCGAGATGCACACAGTGGTGGGTGAGGTAGCGTCCATAGACACACCCTCCAAATGAGCAGCCTGAGGTTCGGGAGGGCTGGCTGGGAGGGCTGGAGCCAGAGGCAGCCTCGCTGTGTCCTCATGGTGCTGGGCCTCTGCAGGAAGCTGCGCCAGGGCTGCTGGGGGGGGGGCTCTGGACCCCCTTTGACGGATGGGGACCGCCGTGACATCCCTGAGTGCCCTGAGTCTTTCCTGCTCCTGCAGCTGGAGCTAGCCTGGGGCAGGTGCTGCACTCCTGCCAGGTAGGCGTCTGCTTCCGGTAGGTTGAGTCACCCGGTTCCCAGCCCTGTGGCTCATCGATGGGGGCCCATTGCCCTCAACACCGGTGCTGTCTCCTCCTCCGCCACCGTGGTGACTTTTGGAGCCTGGGTGACTGCAGACTCACCGGCTTCCTCCGCTACTTGCCGCTGCAAGGAATGAGGCAGGGTGAAGACCTGCCTTCAGGGCCCCACCCCCAGACTCCTGGTTCCCAGGGGCACCCAAGTCCATTCAAGGGATCAGCATGGCTGCAAGATAAGGACCCAGGGCCATTGACCAGCTGGGAGACCCCTCCCACCCTCCACCGGCCTAGAACGCCAGCCCCAGGGGTCGGGCGAGCCTTGATACCTGCAGCACAGCCATCTCGCTGGGCTCAGAGCCTGTAATACAAAGACACCGTCAGGAGGGGCCAGAGTCCCCCACCAGGGCCCACAGGCCCACAGAACGGGGTGGCAGCCAGATCTTGGGCCTCTTGCTCTGTGGCCTTTCCCCAGAGAATGACCTTTTCTGAGACAAGGTGAGATGGTCCAGGGACGTAGCTCCTTACCAGGCCTCATTCCCGGGGTCCAACAGAGGAAAAACAGGCCCTGGCCTGATGCCACGGCTTAGACGGGAGGTCGCCCCCAAAGCCCATAAGGGAGACCATTCAGGAGTGTTCGGAGGTGAGACGGGTTATGGAGGCTGATCAGAGCATCGGTTCAGGGGTAAGAGTCCACCGCAGGAGGGGTGGGCAGGGGTGCTGTTCCTGGTGAGCTTGGTTCTACTCCCTGGTTCCATGTCCAGAGCTGCTTCCCTCCCCCACACTTTCTGCCTTCATGTTCTGGCTCACTTTGGGCCCAGAGCTGTGGAGTCAGCCACCTGTGTTCTGAGACCTCTGAAACCATGAGCCCCAAATAAGCTCTTCTCCCTCAAAAATAGTTCTTGTGAGATCTTTGGGTCACAGCAGACTCTTGCCGACCGTGCCTGGCACACCCCAGGCCAAGGCTCGCTGCAGCCCCACCATCACCCAGACAGCAGGGACGGCACTTCACAGAGGAGGCCCCGTTCCCAGGAGCAGAGCCCCGGGGTTGGGCTGAGAAGGGGGACCGGCCACTCCTGGCCTGCCTCAGTGCCCTGCACCTGGGAGACCCAGGGGTGAGACACAGATGTCTGACCCGAAGCCCGAGCGTGTGGCCCACCTGGCCCCTTGGCTTTCTGTGGGGTGCCTGCTCCCCTGGACTGTGCCCAGGGCGGCACACTCTGCACTGAGCCTGGCACAGCCGAGGAGGAGAGTGGAACGCTGGCCAAGAGCTTGTGAGTAGGTGGATGACGCCTGGGCTGCCCAGTGGGGACACAACCTTGTCCTCGGTGGCCAACCACCGACCCCCAGCCCCAGGCTCTCCCTCCCCACAGGCCCCACAGGCGGATGGGGGCCAGGGCCCCTGCTCCAGTGGGCAGCAGGTAGGACCCTCGGGTCCCCCCAGGGAAGCCGCCTGACACCTGGGCCCTGGGCAAAGCAGGAAACCCAGCCCCCACCGCTAACGCTGCCTCGGAGAAGAGCCAAGAATCCCAGGGATGTCCTGGTGGCTGCCACCCAGGGCTTGTGGGGACACAGTTGTGGCGTCCCTGAGCAGCCCCTGCTGGGGCTCTGACCCTGCAGAAAGAGCCACACTGCTTACCAGACAGCCTTTTCCTCCTCACCACGGAGATGGCGATCACCACGGAGATGGCGGGGAGGACGGACACAAAGACATAGAACCACCGGGACAGGGAGCAGGAGACGTCCCTGCTGCTGGTCCCCCGCTCGGCTTCCACGGCAAAAGGTCCGCTGCACCTAGGGGACAGCAGTATGTGAGCCGAGGCCCTCAGACCCCAGGAGGGTGCTGCTCTGGGTGGCTCAGTGCAGCTCTGTGACCGCAGGCTTGTCCCACACTCCCAAGCCCTTTGGGGAAGATAGAGGGAGAGAGACCAGGGAGGGAGCCTGAGCTGGAAACCCTGGGGCAATCAGACCTCCACCACAGGGACCCCGCGGACCCAGTTCAGTCCTGGGGCCTGGGACTTGGCTCAGGAGCAGTGGGGTCCTCACTTTGAGAACTGCTCCTTCCAGAAGTGCAGGCAGCCCCCCGACCTGGACACCCGAGACCCAGGCCCACAGAGGTGGATGGTGAGCAGCAGCTCTGCTGGGGTGCTCCGGGCAGGACCCACCTGCACCTGCAGGAGCCAGATCAGCATGGCCGCAAGATAAGGACCCAACCACGCGGCTATTCCAAGGCCGCGTTCCAGGCTCACGTGGCCTGTTTGTGGGGTGCAGGCCCCTAGCTGCTCTGCTGGTGACAGAGGTTCCACCCAGTGTGGGACACGAGGCACTGCCTGTGGGGAGCTGGAGGAGCCCCTTCTCCCTAGGGCAAAGACGAGACCCCTGGGATCACCTACGTGGTCCAGGGAAGACATTGTTCCAGGGTCCCGTTGGGCGAGAAGGTCCCCAGTGAGCAGTTGGCACACACTGTGTCCTGGCTATCTGTACCTGGGGGTGGAGAGGGACGGGCAGAGGGGCCATGGGCTCCAGGCCAGGTGGAAACTGGGCTTCCCTGGGGCGGGGCCTGGGGTCTGTCTCTTCTGGGACTTCCACTTCCTGAAGGACTGGGTTATGGTGGGGACGGTGTCTGGAACTGTCCTGGACATCCAGAGGCAGGGAATCAGACCCCAGGGTCCCCTGGGCCTTCCTTCCATAGGTGATACGACACTGGGCGGAGCTGGGGGGTCACACTTCACACTCAGGGAGCATGGTGCCCTGACCATAGGCCACCCCATCCACCTGGGCTCCYGCCTGGTGTGTGAGAGAAGTGGGAGGACTCAGGGCCTGACCACGAGGTGAAGCCACCAGGGCCCACTCCCCCCTCCCTCCTTTCCTGCTGCCAGGACAGGGCTGGGAGGGTTGGGCCTGGTCTGGCCAAGATTTCTGTCCCTTTAAAGACCTCCAAGCTGGCCATGATGTCCAGGGCATCAGGGGCTCAGGCAGCAGGGTGGCTGGGAATGAAGGTGAGTCTGGGGTAGACGCCTCCGGCTGGCTCACCTCTCCTCTGTACCCTCTGGCCAGGTTGGCAGATGGTGTGGGGCAAGCACATGATACAGTGGTCCCTGTCCTCGGCCTCGCAGAAGTAGCCCTGGCGACAGCTGCACACCGTGTCCTGCATGCTGGAGCACTTCTGCCTGGTGTCCAAGCCCAAGGCTGGAACCCAAGAGAGCCTCTGAGAGCGAGGAAGCCGCCAGGGCCAAGGAGTGTCCCTTCCAACGGGAGGGTGGAACTGGACAGCTCCGGCGGGCTAGGGGCTCGGCCCCAGGCCCGGGGAGGGCTGGGGGTGGGGAGCACTCGGGGCCCCAACTCTGCCTCAGCCCAGAGAGCTGCCAGTATCTGAGGTGCTGGACACAGAGGGCCAAGGAGGAAGACAGACCACAGGGCGCATGGCTATGCAGATGGGACCCCAGGGATGAGGAGTTGGGGCCGGTGACCCTCCTCACTGATGGAGGCAGGCTGGCCTGTGGCTAGGTGGGGATTTGCCCCCGGCTGGTGGTGCCCTCATGGGGGGCCAGAGCCTGAGCTCAGGGAGGCCCAGGTGTGGCATGACTTGCAGGCAGCTCCTGCAGGGAGAACCCACGGAGGTGGGTGTGCTGGGGCAGCAGCTGCTCAGCTCCTACCTGGGTCACAGACTCGGCAAGGCAGACACTGGCTCAGGCCGTTGGGGTGGGCGGTGTAGGTCTCCGGGGGGCAGGGTATGCACACTGTGCCTGTCAGCTCACTGCAGGCTTGCTTCACATGGTAACCTGCAGCCCAGGGTGTCCACAGCTTCTCAGCCACAGCGGGCCGGGTGGGAGCCCACGTGGGAGCCCACCCCTCACACCCATCTGAGCCCCAAGCAGGTGTGACACCAACCATAAGGACCCTAGGACACTGCGTTGCTCCCCGGGGAACACGCTGACCCCAGCTCTTCCAAGGCTGGGCCTGCATTGGAGCAGGTTGGAAGTTCTGGCAGAACATGGGGCCTCCTGGGACACCTCACCTGGCTGTGGTCCTGTCCCCCGGTAAGCCTCAGCCTGCAGCCATCCAGGCCAGCTCTGTCCCCCAGGACCACACTTGGGGAGTAGAGCAGCGAGAATCCCACGGTTTGAGGAGCCAGGCTGCAGAGGACTGCCCCGACTGTCTCTGCCCCTGGGCCAGGGGTTTCATGCCACCCTGAGTGTGGCAGAGGACAGAGGCTCAGAGAGCTGGGCTCAGGGCTGCTCCTACCTGGGCTGCACTTGGGACAGCATTCGGTGCCCACAGGGTACTCCTCCTCTCTGCACAGGAACTGGGCAAGGGCACACGGCGGGGATCCCAGGAGGAGGAGACACAGGGCCTGCAGGAAGGGGACAGGCATTGGAGAGGAGCTGCCCCACTGCCATGCTGCCCCGTGGGCTCCACCAGGCTGTGCATGTCCTCGATGTCCCTCTGTGTGCTGAGGGCCATTGCCAAGCAGGAATGACGCATCGAAATTTCCTCTAAGCAACATGGGGTACGCTGATTATGTAGAGACATTAATGAACAAGGGCAAGTCTTGGCAGCTGCAGTACAACAGGCTTTAGATGCCAGGCCAAAAACATGCTACAATTGTGGACAAACAGGACATTTTAAAAGGAGTTGCCCCATAGGAGGAGGGTTTAACAAAACTAGAAATCAAAGGAATAGAATCCCGGGTATTTGCCCACGATGCCGTAGAGGGAGACTTTGGGCTAATGAATGCCGTTCTCAAACCACCATAGAGGGTACTCCCTTATCAAAAAACGGACAAGGATCAGGTTTTTACCCACGATATCGTGGAGAAAGGCATCAGGCTTCATTGCCAAAAAAAGGACTGGGGGGCCCAATGCTCCGGGGCCCACAACCACAAATTTACGGGGCAATGGAGAAACCCAGGAACCCCATCAGGGTGGTGCCCAGGACACATTGTCCATTAAATCCCTCATCAGACAAACCCGAGGGAGTGCAGGGTTGGACATCTGCGCCTCTGCCAGAGCAGTACTAACTCCAGAGATGGGAGTTCAAATCATTCCCACAGGAGTAAAAGGACCTCTTCCCCAGGGAACAGTAGGCTTATTATTAGGACGTAGTTCATCTACACTAAAAGGACTTATGATAAGTCCTGGGGTAATTGATCCCAATTATGTAGGTGAAACAAAAATTATAGCTAGTTCTCCAGGAGGTATATCAGTAATTTCACCAGGAGAGAGAATAGCACAGTTGTTAATAATACCCAGCCTACATGATAAATTCTCTAGTCGTAGTGTAGAAAGAGGTTCCAGGGAATTAGGCTCCACAGGTATAGATTGGGCTATGCTGTCTTTAAATTTAGATTCTCGCCCAATGCTAAAACTAAATATTCAAGGACATGAGTTTAATGGGCTACTGGACACAGGTGCTGACCTTAGCATCATATCTC